AAAAAAAAAAAAAAAAACTAACCCTACGAATCCCTGATTAAAATATGGAATACTGAAATGACTAATAACTTAGAAGCGACATAATTATATTCAGACATGGCATACCTAAGGACATCTATTTCATCTTTCAGGGCTCTTGTTTCTTCAGCAAGACTAGTCAGTTCATCATTCCTATGTTGAAATTCAATTAGTTGCTTTTCAAGTTCTTCACAGTGAACACGATAATCATCTTTTGCAGCTTCAAGCCTTGCATAAACAAAATAAGTATTTATAATGTAATTTCCATTATTTGTTTTCTTACTGAGACATAAGCTTAGCAAGACATACTTTTAAAATGTTCTTTAAAATTCTACGCTCAAAAGAATGACTAAAAGAATAAGACACTTCTGGCTCCCGGTTTTAAAACTGGCTGAGAATAAACTAATGTTCTGAATTTTCATTTTCACTTCTGAAATATGGTGCTTGGTTATCACTAGTTCTAAAAGGGGTTTTAATCTCAAAAGGTGAACAGAAAATGTATAGATATATAATTACTCAAAAATATACATCACGTGTGAAATGGTAAAATATTAACTCTAAGTAGACTATGATAAGTTATGGAGAAATACTTCAAACTCTATGGTAAAAACAAAAAGTAAGAAGATGGAGAAGTCTGGTGGCTCAGTCAGTTAAGCGTCTGACTCTTGAACTCAGCTCAGGTCATGATCTCACAGTTCATGAGTTTGAGCCCCATGTCAGGTTCTGCACTGATGGTAAGGAGTCTGCTTGGGATTCTGCTCCTCCCCCACTCGTTCGTTTTTTGTTTTGTTTTTTCTCTCTCTCTCTCTCTCAAAATAAATAAACTTTTTTAAAAAAAGGAAAAGGGAAATACAGTGTTTAATATCAAATATTAAAAAAATATTTGATTCCAAAAGAATGCAGGAAAGGAAGATAAAGGAAAGGAATAGATATGACAAATGAAAAACAGCAAATTGACAGACCTAAATACAAACATAACAAAAATTACATAAAAGGCCAATAGATTAAATACACCAATTGAAAAGGCAGAGACTATCAGACTAAACAAAAAAGGCTCAAAAATACATTAATTATACAAGGGATATTTTAAACATAAAGACACAGATTAAAAGTAAAAGGATTTAAAAACACCATGAAAACAGTAAGCAAAGGAAATTGGGGTGGTTATGTTAACATCAAACAAAATAAATTTTAAGACAAAAAAAGTATTATCAAAGAAATGTTTCATAATTATAAAAGGGTCAATTACTAGAAAGCCATATCATCAACATATATATATACCTAAAAATAGTTTTAAAATACATGAAACAAAAACTGATAGAATCAAGGGTAGAAATCCACAAATCCACAATCATTGTTTAATACCAGTCTCTAATGAATGACAGAACTAAACAAACAAACAAAAAGCTAAACATAAAAATACAGAAGAGATCTGAACATTATTAACCAATATGATTCAGTTGACATGTATAGAACATGTCAGTCAAAAATGACAGAACACACATTTTTGCAAGTGCACATGTAACACTAATCACAATGAAACATGATGAGCAATAAAATAAGTATTAATAAATATCAAAAGACTGCAATCCCATTCAATATGTTCTCTAACCATAAGAGACTTAAATTAGAAATCAGTCACAATAAGAAGTCTAGAAAAGCCTTAAATACTTGGAAATTAAACAACATGTTTCTAAACAACCCACAAGTCAAGGAAGAAATCACAAAGGAAATTGGAAAATAATTCAGACAGAATAACAGCAGAAAGACAACCAGTTAAATTTGGGGAATGTGGCTAAACCAGTGCTTGGAGGAGAATTTACAATTTTAAAGGCTTATTTATTAGAAATGAAGAACGTCTTAAAATCAATCCAAATTTCAACCTTAAGAGGCTAGGAAAAGAAGAGCAAATTAAATCCAAAGTAAATAAAAGGAAAGAAAGAAAGAACAGAGATGTACAACTAATAATGTGGAAAGCTAATAAAGTGAATAGATTAATAACATTGATGAAACCCTAGTAAGAGTGATCAAGAAAAATGAGAAAAAATACAAATTACCAATACCAGGAATGAAAAAGCAAGCATCAGTATAGCTCCTACAGTCATTAAAAGGACAATGAAAGAATATTATGAACAACTTTATGCCAATAGATTCAACGTCTTAAACAATATAAGCATATACCTTGAAAAGCACAACTTACCAAACTGACATAGATGAAACAGAAAATCTAAGAAGCCCTATGAGCACTGATGAAATTATATTGTCATTAAAAGCCCTTTCACAAAGAAAACCATAGGCCTAGATTGTTTAATATCATTCACACATAAACTATTTCAGAAAACAGAGGAGAGAATTCTTCCCAATTATTCTATGAGACTAGCAGAACTCTGACAACCTAAAAAAAGGCATTACAAGAGAAAAAAAGTTATAGACCAGTATCTATTATGAAGACAACCAAAAAAAAAAAAAAATTCTCTCAATCTATAAGCAAACTGAATCTAGTTAATATATATGCAGAATAATAAGTATGACCAAAGTGGTCTAACCCTGAAATATAAGATTGTTCAACAATCAAAAAATAAAACAATCATAATGAAAGAATGAAAAAGAAAACCACATTGTCATTTCAAGATGTAGAAAAATCATTTGACAAAAACAATTAGTAATAAAAACTCTTAGCAAGCCAGAAATAAAGGGGGAATTCCTTCAAACAGAAAAAAAACACATTAAAAAACTTTACAGTAAGTATTATACTTGATGGTACTTAATTGAACATTTCCCCCCTAAGACCTGGAATAAAGTAAGATGTCTTCTCTTGTTCAATGCAAGAAAAATAAATACAGGGCAGAAATAATAAAAGGAAGATATAAAGCTCTATTAATAGATGACTATGGATGGCTTAGAATTTTCTACATAAACCAATTTCTAGAATCAATAAGTGAAGACATAAAAGTTTCAGAAGACATAAAAGTTTGAAAATAAAAGCTAGAGTTTCAATATATAAAAATGAATTGTACATATTAGCAGCCACTTTTCAGGATAATTTTAATTGTATTGGTAATAGCATCTACATGGGAATAAAGTTAACAAAACACAAAACTTCTCTGCTAGAAACAACACAATATTGCTGGGAGAAACTAAAGACTTAAATAAATGAAGATACCATGTTCATAGATGGTAATTCTCAATATAGTTAAGATATCAATTTTATAGAACCTAAATCATAATCACAAAAGGTTTTTTTAAATGGAAATTGACTGACAGATGTGAAAATGCAAAAAGACTTGGAATAGCCAAAACAAATTTTGAAAAGAACAAAGTTGGAATACTTATACTACCTGATTTTAAACTTACTTTAGAGCTAAAGTAATCAAGACCACATCATACAGGCATAAAGGCAATCTGATCAATAGAAAACAACTAGAGAGTCCAGAAGATGAACCAAATTTTATGATACCATTTTTCATGAAGATACAAAACAATTTGGAGTAAAATTAAAATATCTTCAATGATGCAACTGTAACGACTAGATATCCATATGGAAAACAAAAATAAAAATAAGGACGCCTGGGTGGCTCAGTTGGTTAAGTGTCCAGCTCTTGATTCTGGCTCAGGTCATGATCTCACCGTTCATGAGATGAAGCTCTGTGCTGGGCTCAGAGCACAGAGCCGTGCTTGGTATTCTCTCCCTACCCTCACCCCTTCCCTGCTCATGCTCTCTCCCTCTCAACATAAGTAAATAAACTTTAAAAAATAACAAAATAAATAAAAAATAAAAATAAATAAAGCTTGACCTCCATACCTTACACCATTGTTTTAGAAAACAATTCAAGATGGATTATAGTCTTAAATGTAAAAGATAAAACTGTGAAGTTTCTAAAAGAGCATAATAGAGAGTATCTTCATGGCATGGAAGTAGACAAAGATTTCTTGGGCAATACACAAAAAAACACTAATATTAAAAATATTGACAAATCAGACATCATCTAAGAACTTTTCCTCTTTGAAAGACCCCATTTAAAAAATGAAAAGGCAAGTCACAGAATGAGTGAAATATTACTATGCATATATCTGACAAAAGGATTTGTATCCAAATTTTTAAAACCTCCTACAACAAATTGATAATGACAAACAACCCAATTTAAAAACAGCTCAACAGTGTGAAGAGACACTTCACAAAGTAAGATATATTGCCAATAAGCACTTGAAAAGGGGCTTATCACATCATATGTTGTCAGAAAAATGCCAATTAAAGCCATAATGAAATACTACTACATTTTCCCTGAAATGTTTAAAGTTAAAAAGACAGATAAGAACAAAATATCCTACCAGACAGAACAACTAGAGCAATAAGCAGCAAACTCTGCTCATAGAGTATAAAATGTTATAGCCGCTTTGGAAAACGGTTTGGAAGTATCTTTCACAATTAAACAGCTAGTGCGCAACTCAGCAATACTGCTGTATATATTTACCAATGGGAAATAAGAAAACATATGTCTTTAAAAAGTCTTGTATTATAATGTTCAGACTAGTTTTACTTATATTAACCCCAATTGGGAAACCCAAAATGCCCATCTAAAGGGAAATGGATAAATAAAAGTGTGGTATAATGTAGAATAATTCCAAATATTTGAATACTACTTAGCAATAAAAAATAATGAATTACAGATACATTCAAAACATAAATGAAGCTCACAAAAATGCTGAGCAAAAGAAGCCAATCACCAAGAAGTTCATGCTGCATTATTCAATTTATATGATGCTCTAGATTAGAGAAAACTAATCAATGCTAAAAAATACTCAGAAGAGTAATTAGCCTCTGGGAGGTAGGGGTTGACTGGGAAGAAGCATAAAAGAACTTTTTTCAGTGATTGAAATGAACTATATATTGATAAAAGTGTGATAACACAAATGTATGCCTTTGTTAGCACATTAAATTGGACGCAGTATTTCTTCATTTCACAACATGTAAATGTTACCTTGTAAAAGAACCATAAACATACTGAAGTCTAATAATATTTTGTATTAAAAAGGTAAGACTGCAATTCTTAAATTGCTTTCTATGTGTTTTAGGATTAAGTATATGAGAATATATGTTCAGGAAAATGGGAGCCAGTTTTCTCACCACTGGAGGAGTTGACAATATGGAAATGCAGATCAGAATGAACCCCGAAGACAGGGGACTAAAAGGAAAGATGTCAATATGAACTCACTGTTCATACTGAGAAATAGAATAAATGCAGACATGTGTATATTCCAGCGTGTGGACACAGGCAAGTGTGAACATCGGTCGTAGGAACCTGTGCTAGTGTATTTCCTAGCTCTGTACTCCAAAGTGGCCTAGAAGCAACGACCAAAACACTCATTTGGAGCACAGGTCTTTGTTTCTAAATAACATGCTCCACTAGAAGGAATTAAAAATCCTTGGAGAAATGGCTGACTGCAGAGTCTGGAAAGAAGGAGAATGAGTCTAGAATATTTTGTTGTGCAGGAAAGTAAGAACGTGCTCAAAGGATAGCGACAGGTTGGAAAGGACACAGGGGCCAATTGAAAGGATTCCCAGTGGTCGAATCTGGGATAATTCCAGCATCAAATAACTGATGACAGTAATGGATGTGTAGTCCATTGAGTAAGAATAATACTAAATGCAATGCATGATCCTGCACTGGATTCTGAAATGGGAAAAAAAAATAGCTCTACAGGACAATGAAACAACTACTGGAATTTGAATACAATCTGTGGATTAGATGGTAATATGTATCAATGGCAAATTCCCTAATTTTAATCACTACACTGTGGTTTATAAGAAAGTATTCTTGTTTTAGGAAATGTATGTCAAAGTATACAGGGATAAAAGTGCATGTCTCCAGTGTACTCTCAAGTGGTTCAGGAAAAAATATATGCATCTGTAAGAATATGTAGAGAGACGGCTAAAACAAATGGAAAACACTGCTAAACTACTGCAGAATCTAAGCAAAAGATATAAAGGAGTTTTTTGTGCTATTCTTGCAAGTGTTACTGTGTTTGTTTGAAATTATATTTTAAAAAAGTAACAAAAAATACATACAGTACAATTATAGTGCCTCTTCTCAAGGCCTTATATAGTCCAAGGCTAGGCTACTAGCACACAAGAGACAGTGTTTATTAAAGGTAAGATGTGGGGCGCCTGGGTGGCTTAGTAGGTTGAGCGACCAACTTCGGCTTGAGGTCACGATCTCACGGTTTGTGAGTTCAAGCCCCGTGTTGGGCTCTGTGCTGACAGCTCGGAGCCTGGAGCCTGCTTCAGATTCTGTGTCTCCCTCTCTCTCTGCACCTCCCCCACTCATGCTCTCTGTCTCAGAAATAAATAAACATTAAAAAACATTTTAAAAAAATAAATAAAAAATAAAGACGTACACCACCTTTTTTTTCAAAGAAAAAATACAAAAATTTAAATAGAAAGCACCTCTTTAGGTTAAGATTTCCATTTTTTCCATTTATTATCAGGTTCCCTCTCCTATGTAAGAAACACCCCATTCCCCCCAGATCTCAGCAGTCATTCCCTTAAACTCCTATTGGACTTGCCTATGGCCTTTATTTGGCCCTAATCACGAGTTATTTTGAACTGTTTTCTTTTTATACACATATCCCACTTGCCTAACTAGATTGCAAGCCCCATGAAGGCAGGAACTATTTACACCATTTGATATTTTCAGAGCTTCTATTTTCAGTGTTCCAAGCATACTATAAAGTTATAGCATGCTATAGCACACTATAAAATGCTTAATAATTCATCACTGATAGGACTTCTTAACTCCTGGCTTAACAGAAATCCATGGAATGGTTTTTACTAAAAATGCTACCTGAAGTTTTCTTCCTGTAATTGTTCTAGTTGTAACTGTGCATGAAAATACTTTTTTGCAACCATTGTATTTGGATCATCAAAAGATCCATCCAACTGGTCAAGTTTTTCATTCATCATCTCATTCTCAGAAACTAATGAGTTCTTTTCATCTTGAAGTGCAGTCACCTAAAAAACAAATACACAAATATAAGCATCAATAGCAAAAAAACTTAAGAGTCCAGAGCCCCACATTGCTATGTGACCAAGCCATTAAATTAGCTTGGTCAATCAGACAACATAATTTCTAAGGATCCTTCCAAAGCTGGAATTTGGGGTCTAGGATGTTTGAGTCAAACAAAAGAAATCAAAGTAATTTGATTACTACAGAGAAAACCGAGTTAAAACATACAAGGAGAATATCTTCAAAATGTTATGCTTGCCCTAGTTTCGGTAAAAAAATTTTTCTAAGTCTTTAAAATCTGATGTACTGATAAGCTTTGAAAAATTAATTTGTTCCTCTTTTAGTTATAAATTTACTATTAGGATGCTGTTACCTAATAAGCTAAAATACACACACATGCACAAAGTTATTTTAGGTTCACAGCAGACAATTATCAGTTACATATCATGTCTTCAGAGACAAGCACATTATTTGGTTAATGAATCAGTAACAAAAAGCTGAACTAAATCCATTTGCACATTGAGACTGTTTGCTTATAATTTAAAATGGCTAAAAATTTAGAATCACATCACTATCAGTACCTGATACATTTTCACTTTACTTACATATTAATGCAACAAACATGATTTGCTTCAGTTCTTTTTCTTTTCCATTTAAAAACATCTTTTAAAACCTTTTAAAAAGGCTGTAACCTGGTCATATGTAAGACCAGAAGTTTACATATGATTATATTAAGCTTCCTTTGAAAAAAAGTTGACCTATTATGATTTTGAACATATTACTACATAGGTTTGCAATTGTTTTTTCAATAGATGTAATTAATTCAACCCAGTTATGTGAAGGAGGCTGTATACCGACACAGTGAGCTACTAATAGGAAATTAAAAACAAGTGAGTGCCTTCAACACCATATAGGCAAGTTACAAATACCTGCCTTTGACCAACACAATGACCAACACAATGACCAATGGGCAATGACCAACACAAAGGCTCAGAAAAGTCTTCCCAGGAAGACTACGGGAGAAAGCAATTTTTCTCCCTAAATTCAACGCATGTATCTATCCTTGCCAAGCAAGCAGTTTAGTGACTATTACCTGTCATGTACAACCCTAAATGACTGAGATATGAAAAAGGAGGAGAGTTTGTACCCTTAGCATCCTTATGGTAAAAATGTAAATAATTACACAACAGGAAATGTTCAAAGTGCTTTGGTGGAAACATACCATAGGGTAGGAGATGGGACACAAAGAAAAGAAAATCTCATTCTAGCTGGAGGGAAGAGGGTGTCACAAAAAGATCCACAAAAGAGAAACAATACCCTCAGTCTTCCAACCTGTGTAAGAACCACGTAAATAAGGTAGATAAGGGCAAATTCAGTTTTCAACACCTGGTGTGTAACCAACCTGGGTCCTATCCATGTTTCGCAGTGTGGCTCCAGAGCTACCTTTAACCACAGACGTGAAGGAGAAGGTAGTAAACATGCAAATTCCTTGCACACCCTCCCTCCCATCTATGACACAGAATGTCCAGTGGTGGTTCTACACATCTCCTTTAACAAGTTCCATAGGTTATGTACCGCCTTTATCCTTCTCTGTTTTTATTTTTCTTCTCTATTTCTTTGTTTCTCTCTCCTTTGTTGCTGTGTCAAATTATTTAAAAATGAGACAGAAAAATTCAAAAACCAAAAAAAAAAAACAAACACCATTTTCTTATATTACCCAGATTTAACGTAACACTTGTGTCCTATTTGCTTATTTAAACAAATATATGGGTTGCCTGGATGGCTCAGTTGGTTAAACATCCAACTCGTGATCTCAGCTGAGGTCTTGATCTCAGGGTCATGAGTTCAAGCCCCACGTTGGACTCTGCACTGGGCACGAAGCCCACTTAAAAAAATAAATAAATAAAAACGTCATCACATTAAAGTTTGAAAATCACTGCCTCAGATATAAACGTATCTTGTACAATAGTGGACAGGAGCATGTCTTCTCTAATGTACCCCAGGCAAGAATGGCTGACCACTGCTACGGCATTATTACCGCAAGTGAAGGACCGCATCCGACTGCTGCCGGGGGTCACGAATGGTGGCTGGAAGGGCAGAATAAAGCTAGTGGCAAACGTCACAACTTGCCTGAAGGTCCCATAATATCCTGATTGGAACGGAGTTCCTCAAAACTTCACATCCAAATATCACGTGGAGTTCTTCTTTCTTTTTTTTTTAAGTACACATAATCAGACCTGCCTCCTGATTTACTGAATCAGAATTTATGACCATAATTTGCACAGAACCAACACAGTTCTGTATTTGAAAGGATTCAAGCTTCACCAGATCCTTCCCCACAGAATCTCCACTCTTGCATTCTTCATTTCGATTAAAACATGTTTGCTAGCTAGACTCCATCAACAAGCAGTTTTTTCAAGAACAGCTCGTGAGTCCGCACCTGAGCTCTTCATCTGGCCACAATGCCGCCTCCCTAAGCACTTGGTAGATCCTGCTCTTCCAAATTCTGGTACTGAAGTTGTAGGGAAGCCTGATGGTCTGGTCTTTGTGGGTGATTTGCCTCTTCTACCTGAACAACCAAGGACTCGTTCTTCTCCTATTCATGAAGTTCAATGGCTTACCTAGGATAAAGCCTAGTGTTTCCCATTATTCGGTGATTAGTTTCTGTGCATCTGCAATTTTCTTTTAAACCTCACTTTGTTGTCTTCACGCCCCATCTATTTTACTGATGTGTTCTGAGGAAGCTGTTCCACAACATGAAGCAAACATTATTTTTCTAAGCTCGGCTGAAGTCTTTTACGTGCACTTTAGTCTGCACTGTTTGCACGGATGTCACGCTTCTATTCTTTCCATCTAACTTGTGCTTTGTTGGCAGTCAGGATACACCAGATGTTCCAGTGTGGGCTGAAGACTCCTCAACACGTCTCCACTCTACTGAAGATCCAGTGTGCCTTCCTCTCTCATTATGGTGGAGGCTGTTCTCCCTCCACACCATTCCATAGCCTTGGGAATGGTCAGGGAAGGAGGGGGCAAGCTGAGGCAAGGCGCAGTCTTTTCGACACCTGGGCTACACTCTCACTTCTGAGGTTTAAATACCTTCCACCAGAGTGCTGAGCAGTGTCTCCCACTCCCAGGGAGGAAATCCTTTGGACATCAGCCCTCTCCCCAGTGCAGTGTGTAGCTCTACAGACTGCCTATCAGGAGTCAGGCCCGTAGTGTCTTAGCTGCTCCTCCCCAGTCTAGTGAAAGAAAACAAAAGAATCAAAGGGTGACTCTCCTGACTGTGTAGACCGCAGGGAGAAGTATCGAGATTCCCGTGGATCCCCCTGCGTGGGTCAGGGATGAGGAAAGGAGAACAGATGCTCGCTATGCAGCACTTCTGTCAACATTACATGCCTGCTTCTTTCCTTGACTGTCGGTTTTTTGACTTCACAAGTTACGTCCTTTTTCTTGTTTACCTGTCCTTGGTGCATTTCTGTGCAGCTTATTTTTCTTTTTTTGCTACATTTGGTCAGGTATTAAAACAATCCCCTCTGCCCCAATTCAAAAACAACTCTCAAGTAACATATGATTAAAAGTAAAGATTTCTCAAAAACAAATTCCCTTATGGGGCGCCTGGGTGGCTCAGTCGGTTGAGCATCCGACTTCAGCTCAGGTCATGATCTCACAGTCCGTGGGTTCGAGCCCCACGTAGGGCTCTGTGCTGACAGCTCAGAGCCTAGAGCCTGCTTCGGATTCTACACCCCCCTCTCTCTCTGCCCCTCCCCTGCTCGTGTTCTGGCTCTGTCTCTGTCAAAGATGAATAAACATTAAAAAAAAAATGAAAAAAAATGTCCCTTATAAAATTGGGATATATGTCATGTGAACCTATGTGGATTCTATGTTGTTAATTAATTACTTTTTGTTCTATTATATAATCATTCATTTCCTGTGTGCAGCTAATCTGAGGGTTGATTCTATTTTAATACTAGAATCAAAATGCTAAAACTTGAGTTGTCTGTACTTTACTGCTAAAATCAGGTGATCACATGCTCTTCACTGTGTATAACAAACACATCTTCTAACATAGAATTTTGTGTTCTTTATCAAATAAGAATTTCTAGAAAATGTACAGAGATACTACATAAGACTGCTAAGGCCTGAATAATTCAATCCTCTGTTCTTTATATCAGGTATTCTGGCAGGTGAATAAGATCCTATTTGGCAATAACTCATCTCAGATGCTTTGTATGTGTGTGTGCAATTGTTGTAATGTGTGACATAACTGTGGCCAAGAAACATGAAAGAAGAACATATAGAAAGCCCCCTAATTTTGAGGTACTGGCTTTGTTCAAATATAAACATTAACTCTTTTCAAACACAGAGGGACTGATTTTTTAAAGAATGACATTAAAAGACCAAAACTGCAGTGCTGTCACTGTCCTAAGTAGCTGAGTCACCGTGACCTAGTCACTTCTCTTTTCCTCATGTGCAAGCCTTTACAGATTAGAAATATTACCCAGCCCTGTCAGTCTAGATCTTTATCTCATCAAGCCAGGATGATGCTCTCACAATCCTTGTTCCTTGTCTTCTTACTTTTCAGAGAGTAAATTATTTATGTAACTCATTATTTGAACAAAAACGTGCAATATACATTTAGCACATTATGCCAGTACACTTACCCTTTGGCATAATTTTTTAAGACTTACTGCATAACTTGTGCGTTTGCACTTTTCATATAACAATAACAACAATACGCGCAAATACACATAGTGCTTATGTGCGTCAGGTATTACTCTAAGTGCTTAATGCATAGTAACTCATTTAATCCTCATGAAAACACTCTGGGAGATACACACTATTATCACAACACTTCTCAAGAGAGAAAACTGAACTATAAAGAAATTAAGTAATTTGTTTGAGAGGATACAACCATCTGAATATAGGTGGGCTAGTGTGACCATCTACCCTATTAAACGTTAACTATTGTCTCTCATGCCGAGTTTATTTTGCTAACATATACATACATGTGAATATAAGAATTATATACACATGGATTCAGATACATGTACATGTTAGCAAAACAAACTTGGTACCTGCATTTAACTGGGAAGGGGAGAAAAGCACTTCTAAATACTTCCATAAATGACCTCATTTAAATATTCGCTCTATGCAGTAGATACTTGAATTTCTCCTTTTTACAAAAGAAACTAAGGGCTCATCTAAATACTTGAAATTCCACAATTAAAATGATTTTCTCAAAGAAATAATCACCAATTTTCAACTCAAAGAGAAAAGTAACTAGGAAGTTCATGCTTGAATGTTCAAGCCTATAACAAACACTTTAAAATTTCCCTCCCTGGAATGGAACCCCTCCTCCAAGCCACTGTGCCAATGAATTATTTACAATAAAACCTCCGTAAACTTAAAGAGGAAGTTTCCCTCGGATAGGTTTCTCTTCTGCACCTGCATATCCAGTTCTTGGCACCTTTGCCTCAGTTCTTCCTTTTCCGCTAGTGCTTCTTGAAGTTCTTCCAAGGCCCTTTTAAGCTGAAACAGAAAACGTTCTGATTCTTAGAAAGATGTGTTCTGACACAAGTTGAAAAATATGTGTATGTACACATAGACACGGACATTCAAATTCATCAACAAGTCTACTCTCTTTAAGTCTCCATTTGAACCTTTCTAGGGTTACTATGCAAATTAGACAGCATAGGAAAAGCAGTCGGCACAGGGTCTCTGGGATGTAGTGGACAGTCAATAAATAAGCGACTACTAGTCGGAGTGAGGGGGAAGATTTTAAGAGGGTGACCAGACGCAAATGGACAGTTGTGTGAAAAAGGTGTTTGGTCATGGGAGAAGGTGCTGATTAGTATAAAACAATGATGAAGACCTAACTGCAGATGGAAATCATGCATCTATAGTGACCTCAATTCAAATAAATGGCTGTGCTTTTCTCTAACAGAGCTCAGCTGCATGGATGCTGCAGTAAAGAAGGGCACTCATTATTGTTTTAGTCTGAGTTTCCCCGATGATCAGGGATGTTGAGCACCCTTTCATGTGTCTGTTGGCCATCTGCACGTCCTCCTTGGAAAAATACCTATTCATGTCTTCTACCCATTTTTAAACTGGATTATTTGTTTTTTGGGTGCTGAGTTTTATAAGCTAACTACAGAGAACACACTGATGGTTATCAGTGGGGAGGTGGGTGGGGGGATGGGGGAAACAGGTGGTGGGGATTAAGGAGAGCACTTGTGGTGAGCACCGAATGTGGCATGGAATTGAATCACTAAATTGTACACCCGAAACTAATGTTACACTGTATGTCAACAAACTGGAATTTAAACAAAAACATTAGAAAATTTTATCTATTAACAAATAAGTCTCAGTTTGTTGTTTCTGTGTGAATATTTACACCGTCTCATTAATATTTAAAGCAAAGGTCCCACAGAAATAAAATTTTAGGTAAATCTTCATGGAAAAAAAATTTGTTTTCTGGTTCAATGTGCATTTTTTAAAAAAAACCTGAAGTATCACTAACATAGAATGTTATATTAGTGACATACATCATACAGTGATTCAACAACAAAACGATGGTTAGATGCCCTGAAGGGGGTGACAAGGCCTTAACTGAGCTGTGTGCTGTCAGGCCGGAGGGCCTCTTCCAGCCTTGTGACAGGGAGCGCTAACCTTTTCCCCTTTCACGCATCACTCCTTATGAAATGTTCAAACAGCAGAATATTAGAGGATGTTTAATTTCATTACACAAAATTTAGAAAAAACACAGTGTTTAAATTCAAATAGAAATTTCTTAGGAAAATTTTAGTTTGGAATACTTGGTGAGATGCCTGGTGACACTCATGAAAAACAGGTGTTCCAAAGTAGAGCAGGAAAAGCACTAGATGTAACGGCCTGTCCCTGTGCCCCTCCCCACAGCCCAGGAGAGTGCCCTCCCCCGTGTGAACCAGCATGCAAGAGAACCTAGAACTGGGGAAAGGGGACTTGAGCGCAGGGTCATGGAGCTGTTTCTTCACAATCAGGAGAGAGGACAGCAACATGACAAAAATTATCATATTAGATAAATGACAACTTAGCAGAATTTTTTCAACTGTCTGCTACTTAACTGTGCAATCATCTAGCATGAGCCACATATATATCAGAAGTTTTGGAAGGAAAGTTCAATGTCACTCATCTCTGAACATGATCATAAAAACTTTTGGAAACCAACACTACTTGCATTCATGAAGGAATTCATAATAATATTCAATTGAGATATTATAGGATAAACAAGCTACATTTCATGGAGGAGAATATTCTTGCATATGTTCGCCTATGTAAGCCTTATGACAGTAATTGGCTAAGGAACTGCATGACTGTTTTCAATACTCTCCCCACATACTAAGATACTTACCTGTTGCTCTAATTCTCCGACAGCATCATTTGTGGGACAGCTCACTATTTCTTTACTCATCAACTAGGAAATTAAAGTAGCAATGTTAAGTACAATAAAGAGACTAAGTTATGAAGTAAAAATAAGTTTACTTAAAAGGGCAGTAAAATGCTTTATATTTAGTTTCCCTTGATGATCCTTAGAATATTATTTAAATAAAAACTTTATTAGAGACTTAAGCTAAATAACACAACATTTCAACTATTACATCAGTGGGGACATCAGGAATAAAGTGTACTTGAAATGCACAGATAAATTTAAAATACTTGTATGCTGAAAAATTGTAATCTAAATTCTAAAAGATGAACTACTGAATAACACTGAACACATCAAATAATAATAAAAAAAGATTCTCCCATAAAATTAACACTTTTAAAATACAGCCTTTAAATGAGTGATATAGCAAAATTCCTAATTTGAGAAGTCATTTTAAAAGTAGGAGTTACAATTATATGGAAAAAAAAATCTTATAAAAGTAACCTTTTTGCATATGAAACACAGATGTATGTACTGTGATGCTTTTTTTTTCCTTTTCGTTTTTATTTTAATATTTATTCAATTTGTGAGAGAGAGAGAGAGAGAGAGAGAGAGAGATAGTAGGGGAGATGCAGAGAGAGAGGGACACACAGAATCCAAAGCAGGCTCCAGGCTCTGAGCTGTTAATACAGAGCCCAATGCAGGGCTCGAACCCACAAACCGTGAGATCACAACATTAGCCGAAGTTAGATGCTTAACTGACTGAGCCTCCCAGGCGCCCCTGTACTATGATGCTTTAAATTCAAGTCAACAACGCAAACTCAGAGCACACACTGCTAACATCCTGTGAGATGCCTCCTTCCAAATCATGCCCCTGTCAAACTGCTTGTACTCACTAATTCCTCATTCTACCTCCCGTTGGACATCCTCTACACTGCACTTCAGTCTGATGTTAAGAATCAACATGTACCATGTGAATTCTGAACCGTTCTGGTTCAACCTACACATCTAGATTCGCTTGAACCCAGGCTACCTGACTCCCAAACCTATCACCATATTTGCTCACAGTTCCTCCATTCTGAAAATGAATGTAAGATATGTTTACACACATGCTTTAAAATTTCAAGAAAGACTACTCTAATTGGCAGAAAAAAAAAGAAAAAAAGATTCCTATCTGGTCAGAGGTTATCCTGCTTAGGTGAAGTTATTTAAGGGAATCTGACAGGGGCACCTGGGTGGCTCAGTCATTAAGTGTCTGACTTCGGCTCAGGTCATGATCTCATGGTCTGTGAGTCGAAGCCCCACATCAGACCCTATGCTGACAGCTGGGGGCCTGGAGCCTGCTTTGGATTCTGTGTCTCTGTCTCTCTCTGCCCCTCCCCTGCTGTGCTCCGTCTCTCTCATTCTCAAAAATAAATAAACGTTAAAAAAAAAAAAAGGGAACCTGACAATATTAACTTATCTTTTAAAATACAGAAGTACTGGGGCGCCTGGGTGGCGCAGTCGGTTAAGCGTCCGACTTCAGCCAGGTCACGATCTCGCGGTCCGGGAGTTCGAGCCCCGCGTCGGGCTCTGGGCTGATGGCTCAGAGCCTGGAGCCTGTTTCCGATTCTGTGTCTCCCTCTCTCTCTGCCCCTCCCCCGTTCATGCTCTGTCTCTCTCTGTCCCAAAAATAAATAAACGTTGAAAAAAAAAATTTAAAAAAAAAAAAATAAAAAAAAATAAATAAATAAAATACAGAAGTACTAAAATTGGGCTTGAAGTCTTTTTAAGATATTTTGGAGAAAGAAAAGAAAGGAAGGCACACTAATTTAAGGTAAATAAACCTGCTGCAAAGGGCAAGTTTATACAAGTAGAAAAATATACATCCATAAGATTTACGTGATAATTTTTGTGTCATTAGGTTTAGGATTTTCATACATAGGTGAAATAATAAAAACTTACCTCTTGAATAGCAGTCATGACCACATGTTGAACAGACTCTTCCAATGTCATTATATTTTGAATATGTTCTGTGATTTAAAAAAAAAGACATATGATAAAAAGAATCTACTCTTTCCCATGTTACTTTAGCCATTCAATTAATAGTATAAAGGTCATTTACCACACATACTTCTTTATGCAAGTATATTTTTCCACCAGAAATAAGTCCACCAAAATTATATAAGCAGAATTAAGATGCCCAAATTTTAAATGTTTTATTTTTCCTAAAGAAGAAAACCTCTACTTTTCTTATAAAAGAAGAAAAAGAAGAAATTATGATTAATCTTAAAACAATTATGACAATTTATTCCCTCTTCTTAGATGTTCAGTATTATGGGATGAATTCATACATATTAAATGAATGTTAAATCTTCAGCCAAGAGAATTAAATCTGACCACCTATGTAGTTCATTTCAGGAAGGCTTTCAAAGAAGGGACTTCTACAGCCTCCTATAAACACATACTCAATATTCATCAAGTCTTATCTGAAGGAGATCCTTATGCCTTACCACAAACACACATGCAATAAGTTAAGTCTGTCCCAATATGAAATGAAGAACCATAAGAAAAGGTGTTTCATATATTTACATAATCAACTTTGATGGCATGTTCTCCAGCTAAAACAATTTCCATATAATTCCAAATTTCCAAAAAAACATTATTTTCAAATATTTTTATTGCTTAAATGATTGTCCTGGAACACTCCCAAAAGTTCTCTAAATCTTTCTTTTATTTGTGAAGTCAAGAACTGGACAAAGATTCTGACAGATTCTGATATGCACCTGACCAGTAGGTGGGGAGTGGGAGGGGAAGGGGAAGAGTTAAGTAGAGAAACAACAGGCAATGCAAGGATTTCCTTTAACTGGATTTTCTGGGTAACGGAGAGTTTCAAGTCTGCTGAAACCTTCAAAAAAATTATCTCTTTTCCCACCAAGATAAATATGGTACTATTAACCAAACAAGTTCATTCTTTCAAGACTGAGACTACTGCAATACCTTGGAATCATTTCGAAACAATTCTCATTGGAAAGTATAAAGGTGTGGAAGCTGTTTTACATGCTGGGTGTATTTTAGGTTTCAATTAAATTACTGCAAGTTTTTTTTTTTTTCATTTATTTGCTCACTCCTAAAATCTGAGAGCACACATATCTCCAAAATTAAATCCAATTAGGTAACACTGATGTGTTTAACAAGACAGTGAAACTATTTCTTTATATTTACCACTTGCTAAACTTTTATTTACGTATGCTGAAATTGAATTTCCTTTCAAAATTCTGGGGACAAAAATTCTATTAATGCTTGGAACTAAATTATGAAAATAATATTAAAATTCATGGAAGGTAACAAAATCATAACGCGGGAAAATTACACCTGAAAATGTCAATTATAACTTAGAATAGGAAGAACTGATTAATTCACAAGAAAAGAGATGAAATGAGATAAAAGAACAGATATTAAATAGTGCAGACAAAATACAGTGAAAGCCCAAAGTTACTTTTTTGAAAAAGACTATTAAAACTGATAAATGTGGAAAAGATGGCAGAGTAAGAGGATGCTAAACTTGTCCCAGAGACACACCAAGGCAACAGCTACATCTACGCAAAACTAACTCTGAAAATGACCTAAAGACTAGTGAAACAGACCTTCCTTAGCTAGTCTCAGAGAGAAGGCCACATATAAAGGGTAGGGGGGCGGCAAAGACATGGTTGGGAACCAAATCCCCAGTGGGACCAACCACAAACAGGACAGGCAATACAAGGATGGAGAAGCGAGATCAGACCTCACACTGGGCAACCCTGTGTCTGATGAGTCCCTATAATATCTGACTTAACACTGGGAGCTTTAAAAATCAGCAACGCCAAGAGAGTTTCCTACTGAAGGCAATAGGAAACAGAGTCTCATCCTCCCCCACCCCCCTAAAGAGCCAGCACACTAAATAACTCAGCCCTAGACACAGCACAGAAGCAGCCGTTTGAAAAGCACCTGGGGTATACATGAAGGAAATTCAGTGACTAATCTCAGAGTATGTGCATGAAGGGCAGGATCTGCAGATTCCTCCCAGGGTAAAATGCTGGCTAGTGCCACTTTTCTTCCCTCCCCCACTAAGGAGATGCTTCTGGGAGCCAGTTCTAACACTCTCCTTCTAGCTCGCTGATGCCACAAGCTCTGCCCCAGTGCTACCCTGCAGACATGCCCCACCCAACCTGCCTGCTTTGGCAGGCAACCCTGCAAATTAGCTCCAGCTCGGCCACACCTGACAGGTAGCACTGGCCAGGCCTGTCCCACTCCATAGTTCTCCAACGCTGAGGAGGTGAGTAAATAATCCCAAACATGAGCACAGCTGCAATTCCTGCAGCCAGGCCTCTTAGTTGGCTGCACAGGGAGTAAGCCCTGCTCTTCATTGAGACTTACAGCTGTGGTATAGAGGCTAACTGTGGTATAGTGGCTAGGCTGACCACTAGCCCCACCCACCAACTGGCCCATGGCAGCCTCAGCCTGGCCTCTCAATAGCACTGGGAGCAAATCCTGCCCAGTGCATCCACAGCAGGTAAAGCAGGTGACTGCAGCTAGCTGGGCTGAAGGTTATGATGGCCCAGCCACAAGTGTAGAGCACAGGCAGCCCATGTAGAGGATACTCCTGGAGCACCTAGTTCTGATGACCAGGAGGGACTGTGCTGTAAGACACTTTTCCATACCAGGCCACTATCTTCAAGACCAGAAGAAGTAGCTGACTTACCTAATATACACAGAAATAAACACAGAGAGTTAGACAAAATCAGGAGACAGAAGTATATACCCCAAATGAAAGAACAAGACAAAATCATGGTTAAAGAGCTAAATGAAACAGAGGTAAGCAACATGCCTGATAAAGAATTAAAACTAACAATCAAAGACACTCCCTGGACTTGAGAAAAGAGTGCATGAACTCTGTGAAAACTTCATGAGATGGAAAATATAAAAAAAAGAACCAGTCAGGGCTGAAAAATTCAATAACTGAAATGAAAAATGCACTAGAGGGAATCAACAGCAGATCTGATGATGCAAAAGAACAAATCAGCGATCTGGAAGACAGAGTGATAGAAAGCACCCAAGCTGAACAGCAAAAAGAAAAAAGTAAGAAAAAAAAAAGAAGAACAGGTTAAGGGAACTCTACAACATTACCACACATAACATTCATATTATTAGGGGGTCCCACAAGGAGAAGATAGAAGGAAGGCAGAAAATTATTTGAAGAAATAACAGCTGGAAACTTGCCTAATTTGGGGAAACAAATATCCAGGTCCAGACAGCACACAGAGCATCCAACAGGATGAATACAAGGAGGATTACACCAAGATAAATATAATTAAAATGAAATAATGATAGAGAATTTTAAAAGCAGCAAGAGAAAATAAAAATGTTATATATAAGGACAATTCCATAAGGCTATCAGTTGAATTTTCAGCAGAAACTTTGTAGACCAGAAGGAAGTAGCATGATATATTCAAAGAGCTGAATGGAAAAAACCTTACAAACAAGAATACGCTACACAACAAAGTTATCACTGAGAAATGAAGGAAAGATAAACGGTCTCTGAGACAAACAAAAGTTAAACAAGTTCATCCATCATTAACTCAGCCTAACAAGAAATTTTAAAAGGAATTCTTTGGGAAACAAAAGATATAACCAGATGTAAGAATATTATGAAGGGAAAATGTTTCACAGGTAAAAGCAAATGTATTTTAAGGGCAGTAGATTAATTACTTATAAAGCCAGTATGGAGATGAAACACAAAAGCAGTAAAATCATTTATATCTACAAAAATTAGCCAAAGGATACAAAAAAAATAAAAGGATGTAAACTATTACATTATATATGTAATGTGAAGAAGGAAGTAAATATTTAGTGCTTTCAAAATGTGTTCAAACTTAAGTGACTTAATATAAATATCAACATAATATAAATTGTCAAACACACAGGATATTATACATCAACTCAGTGGCAACCACAAATCAAAAACCTATAATAGATACACAAAACATAGAGAGAAAGGAATCCAAGCATAACTCTAAAGAAAGACATCAAACCACAAGAGAGCAAGAGAAGAAGAAAGGAACAAAGAACTATAAAAAAAAAAAATCAGAAAACTATTAACAAAAGGGTAATAAGTATATTCTTATCAATAATTATTTTAAATGTCAGTGGACTAAATGCTCTAATCAAAAGACATAGAGTGACATAATGGATAAGAAAACAAGACCCAGGGTGCCTGGGTGGCTCAGTCGGTTAAGCATCCGACTTCAGCTTAGGTCATGATCTCACAGTCT